CAGCATGAGCATCAATCTACGCAACTGGGATACGATGACATGTGTCAGCAAGTCATCGAGTCTGACCATCCGATTCCGTTTGTCACCTCTTACGACAAGCATGGATTTCTGAAGAGCACATTCTTACCCGGATCTTCACGGGTCTATTCCTCATTTTGCCCTGCAGAATTCAAAACAGCTCTTCTTATAATTTAACTTTTTGGTGTTTTAGTTCTCAGCAACGCTTTTGGTGTTTAGAAACACAGAAACCCCCAAACCACCCCCACCTCACACCCTAAAAATTAAATACACCAAAAAACAAAACGAAACGGTATAAACAACGCTGTATTGACTTAATCGCCAGTTTGTGAGTCGTCTTTTTAAATATCTCAGTGTATGACAGACAACCTGAGCTGGTCACGCCGAAGAGCACGTTCGATTGCCCACATGGGTGCAACGTTCTGGCGTCCCCCGCCGTCTACTAGAATATTGCTAAATGTGACGTAAAACCGAACTCACTCAACCAAATGTTGTAGTCTGTGGTTTTCGAGCGACCTCTCCTGTAAAGCTGGACAAGAGGGAGATGATCAAACTCTATAATATGGATAGCCTCATGAAGTGCACCTGATAGCATGGAACGGAACCAATTATCCCACAGAAACAGCGTATCGTATTGAACCGACACAATCTGTAGTCATCTCGTCACAAATGAACTGATACCAGATCACTTTCCGCTTTAATTTCTGCTTCCTACTTTAACATCTCCAATCTAACAACAGCCCTTAGCAACCATTGTGTTGGTGAGACTTGACACTACCAATCACGGTACCACGTGATCTGACAAGGTGGGGTCTATCAATTACTGGGTTTCGTTTCGTTCGGAAAGTATTGTTTTGGCAAATAATGAAATCCATTCACTCGGTATTTTTGTAGATTAGCAACACGCGCGGTCAGTGACCTCAACAAACTGGCTCAATGTTGTTTTTCTCGTGCCGCTTTTATCCAAAGACGGTTGGGGAAAATAGTGACACTGATCTACCCTATCTGTTAAAGATGCAAATGCCTTTCGTCCTTAATTAATACCTCAGACGTGTGTTTTGGTGAACCAATATAATAAACTGGTTGGTGATCTTAATTGTGTCGCGATGTTATATCTGGGATTACACTTTCTCAGTAAAGTACAGATTCTACAACTTCTGTTGGGTTGTGTCCCATCCGGGATTCGAACCCATACTCTTAGAGTCAGACACCCATTCGCCAGCACACAAGAGAAATTGTAATCTCAAATCTGACATATGTTATATTAGACCACTTTCTCAATGGAGAACCAATGAATGACATGCTTACTGTCGACCAATCGTATTCTATGATACATCGGCCAGTCGCAGTCTTCGCGTTCAGACTGGCGGAAGAGCAGGGCCCCGTTTCACAAAGCTATCGTAGCGCCGACTGTCGTACCTCCTATACTGGGCCGATATTTTCGAAGCTCTCTTACCACTAAGATAGTCGTAAGTTAATGTTAATGTATGGCACTTACGGCTATCGTAGCGCAAAGAGAGCTTCGAAAACCTAGGCCCTGTAACATAGACGTGAAACATGATCCTGATGGTTTCAGGAATCGCAATTCGCTGTGCAGGGGCCAACTTCACTAAGCGATCGTAGTGCTACGCCTGTCGTACGTCTATGTTAAAGTATGGGAGTTACGATCACCTTAGCGCTACGATCGCTTTGTGAAACGGGACCCAGGAGAATAAAAGGTAATACATGTAGAACGCATTTTTATGATCCACGTACCAACCCAGATGAATCTCAAAAAATCCATTTTGTCAACCGACCATTTTTCAGCTCACCTTATTGAAAGTTTCGTGAGCATATGTCGTGGCGTAAGGGTCCGTAAGCCGTGGTGTGGTGCCTCTTTAAAGGGTCTTCTCTTCGTAAATTGTTGCACACGTACCAATGTAATCGGAAACGTTATATGCTTGTTAGAAGTAATGAGAACACTCAAATATGATAGTTTTTGGTTTTAGTCCGATTTCATTTTGGCAGCCAAATTGAAATTTTGAGTTCCCATGTCCATTGCTCCGCCATCTTGTTTAAACGTGAAGAAATATGGTACACTTGGATTTTTTCAGTATTCGAAATAAAAAAAAATATGTAACGTGCATCACGTGATATTAAAACATGCATAATCCTTTATCCTTTAACCAATGTGCTATAAAAGGGTTTTTCTCTGCCTTAATACACCGAGGAAGCATATCCAGGTGGGGGCGCTGGGGTAGCCTAGTGGTTAAAGCGTTGGCTCGTCACGCCGAAGATCCGGGTTCGATTCCCCACATGGGTACAGTGTGTGAAGCCAATTTCTGGTGTCCCCTGCCGTGATATTGCTGGAATATTGCTAAAAGCGGCGTGACGAGCGAACGCTTTAACCACTAGGGTACCCCATCGCCCCGTAAGTTTTGGAAGAAACTTTGAATATGACGCATCACATATATTGGTACGTTCGATGAAATATTCTTAGATGACGAAAAATATGCTATATCATGTTTGGAATATTCAAGCATTGCATGGACGAAAACGTCAAACCAAACACATTATGATTCAAATGCTTATTGGTAATTTATCATGTTTTATTAAAAATCTTTAAGTCTAATATCCCGCCGAATTCATGTTTACGTTTTGTCATGGGCACATCTCATTATGATATGTTGCTAGGCAACGGCGTTGATTAAGGCAGAATTTTCAACACCGCTGATCCCTATGTAAAACTGATCATACATTTATTTCTGTCATTTTACAAAATACTTTTCACAAGGGTGAGACAGCCTCGTAAATCAGTAATAAAATGGAAAAGAATTTTCTAAAATAGTTCAACATGCACAGTATCACTCGTCCTTGAGCACAGACATATTCACAAATATTAAAAATACGACCTAGGGTGGAATTTAGCTCATACATTTAATAGTCAGACATGTACACAAATATTAGACAGATCTTAATGTATGGAAATATTTTCGTACAAAATCTGAAAACTTCCAAACATGAGGCTTCTCCATCAATAAAGCGACGTCCTATTAACACCGTGTTAAGTGATCGGGCGTGAAAATCGACTGACATAGCCAGGTTTATGGTTAACGCTAGAGAAGGCTCCTTGAAAGTGCTAAGAAATCCTTGTAATTCAATTTGGAACAGTCTGTCCGCTCCTAGGGGCTTAACCATACAGCTTTTGATTTCCTAACGCCCATAGTTTTTCGACGTACGTGAAGGAACGGACCGCAGGTCTTAGTGTGTGACGCTTGTAGTGATATGAAACTATTGACCTAACGGTGAATATCCGTCTGGAGATATTAGCAGATCAATACGGAAATGGCCTTAATCGTTTCTAAAGAAAGCGGAAATCACTTCAAGACAACTGGAATATCTTAATGTGATTGGATCATTACAGTTTGTAAAATATGATTGATTGAATCGCCAGCGAGATACTGTAGACAGTGATTTGTAAACACGATTTTTTCCAATTGATCAAGGGTCAAAATCCGTATTTATACGTTCGACCTTTATCCTGTTTGATCTGATTGACAGATGATCATCATGAAATTTTAATGAAGTATTGATTGTTGTGATGAAGTAACAGATTCAAGTTTTCTTGGATCAATAATAATACGCATGTTGGCTGGAACTAATATTTATTCTTGTTTCTGGTGGTTTTGGGTGATCTAACGACGTAAACATAAGCGTTGTATCACGGGATCGTTCAGGGTCCCGACCCACAAAGCGTTCGTAACGTTACGACCTATCGTAGGTTATCATAAGCTTACGAATGTTGTAGCGCTACGAACGTTTTGAAATTGGATGTTAGCATGTGTGATTAAACTGATTAGACATGCTCGTCCTTCGTCGGGTATTTCAGTTCGAAAAATGACCGAACGCAAAGACGGAAACGCATTCGTGATTACTAAAGGATCCCATTCGTGACCACCCGCAATCTCATTAAGATCTATTCTCTCCGATACGATTCTTCCACGCGTGAGGACCAGTCTAAGTAAACTTAGTCTCAGTACTATTCGTTACACTCCTCTACTCAGTATAGTAGGGTAACGAATAATACTGAGGCTAAGTTTACTTAGACTGGCGTGGGGACGAGAGCCGGAGGGGTAGCATAGTGGTTAAAGCGTTCGCTCGTCACCTATCGATTCCCTACATGAGTACAATGTGTTAAGAACGTTTCCGTGATATTGCTGGAATATTGCAAAAACATTCACTCACTCACTCACACACGAGCGCTTTCTGTATTTCGGAAACGAATAAAATAGGAGAATTCTGTATAGAAAATAATAAAACCGCGCTAGTATGGTGTTGTTATTTTATGGTCATGTTCTTAGTGGGGCTGATGGGTAGCCTAGTGGTTAAAGCGTTCCCTCATCACGCCGAATACACGGGTTCGACGCTATTGGAACACGATGACATGTGTCAATCAAGCCAGCGAGTCTGACCACCTGATCCCGTTAGTCGCCTCTAACAAGCATGGGTTGCTGAAGACGGTAGACTAGACAAAACGTTACTGAACACCTTAAGGTGCGTTATGGTGATAATAAACCCGCCATCTGCATTTCTCGAACTACAGATAACACGACATTTAACGTCCCTCGATTATCCATTGCTGCGAATAGATGCAAAATTGCTGTTGCGGCGTGAATCAATATCCACCCACTCGATTAACCAGTGTATTTCAGAATTGACGTCAGTGCCACGATCTCACCAATGACTGATAAAGCCTACCGTCCGTCAGGAGTGCGCTGTGATTGGACGGTTATTGTTAGTGACGTTTAATTCTATTTTTAACCATAATGAAGTTATGGCTGTGGCTGAGTTAACTGTATTAATCATAAACGAAGGGAGATGCATTTCACTAGATATGTGAGAATAGTGAATTTCTTTAGAATTGTGTTTTTAATGTTCAACCCCGTTCATTTCATGCAAGAATCTCCAGCATTATAATAACAAACATTCTGTTTTATTTTCAGATTTGTTTCCTATGATATGACGGACCGAGATGGCGAACCTTACATTCGACTGTGATGAAGTTCTTGCCAAGCATCCAGGTGCATTGCCTCCACTACAAGATGGCCTGAAGCAGTTTGTTTGGATTTTACTGGCGCTTCTGCCACTCTTGACTTTAATCGGGAACGGAGTTGTGATTCTTTCCGTTGCTAGGTTCCGATACCTCAGAACCAAAGCCAACGCCTTTGTCGTGTCTCTCGCTGTAGCGGATATATGTGTAGCTTTGCTAATCGTGCCCTTTCGTGCTGTGGAGCTTGGTAACGACCATATATGGCCGCTGGGCGAGACCTTCTGTGACATCGTCAACGTCTTCGACTGCGTTTTCTCCACTGCATCGATCCTAAACCTGTCCTGTCTAGCCTGCGATAGATATCTAGCAATCAGTCGCCCTTTCCTGCATGTTAAAATTCGACATAAGACGACCGTTGTGATGATTCTTTCCTGTTGGATCATCCCCATCTTGGCGTTTGTGGTGCCAATAATGTGGCATTGGAACCTGAGTGGAGTGGAACATCTCAGTTACTGCTTCACCAAGGTGGAGAAAGGATGCCCTCTTCTCATGAACAAACCCTACTCGGTATTCTCAACCCTAGTGTCGTTCTACGTACCTACTATCTTCATGGCTGTGTGTTATTCTAGGATTTTCGCCGCGGCGAGACGTCACGCGAGAAACTTACAAACTCTCGCCCACCGAGACGCAGAGTTCAAGGACGAAGGTCGCCTGCAGCAGGAAACCAAAGCTGCAAAGACTCTTGGCATCGTCATGGGATGCTTCTGTGTCTGCTGGTTCCCTTTCATCCTCATCAACACGGCGGATCCATTCCTGGATTTCACGCTGCCAAATTTGGCGAAACTTATTGCCATGTGGCTGGGATATTTGAACAGCACGATGAATCCTATATTGTTTTATGTATTCAGTCGCCAGTTCAAGATGGCGTATAAACAATTGTTTATGTGTTGTAAAATCCGGAGGGATATGTTTACAGGTTTGGCCCGGAGCAGTCAGCAGACTGTCATTTGAGATTCTACCAACGGGATCGGGTGGTTAGGCTCGCTGACTTGGTTGACAAATGACATCATATCCCAATTGCGTAGATCGATGCTGATGCTGTTGATCACTGTCTGGTCCAGACTCGATTAGTCACAGACCGCCGCCATATAGCTGGAATATTGCTCAGTGCGACGTTAAACAACGAACAGGCCAACAAACCGGCGTAAAACTCTACTCACTCACTCACTCACTCACTCACTCACTCACTCACTCACAAAGGATTCTTGATTTCGTTTGTGGGCTTTTCCCAAAAATATAGTCCATTTAGGGATTTCTTCTCACACCAAGCGGACATGCCGTGATATAACTGGAAATAATGTTCAAAGCGGTCTGGAACCGAAATCATTCACTCAATCACAGAGTGAGTGAGTATGGTTTTTCGCTGGTTTTAGCAATATTTCAGCAAACTCACGGTGGGAGACACCAGAAATGGGCTGCACACAATGTACCAATGTGGGGAATCGAACCCGGGTCTTTGACGTGACGAGAGAACCCCTTTAACCACACACACGCACGCACGCACGCACGCACGAAATTCAGAGACACTGTGTACGTTTCTCGTAAACGTCTGACACCTGCTTCAGGCTTTCCTAACACATTAATCTTACACACATCAACTGAAATACTGTTCCGCATTAACTGAAATACTGTTGGAAGCGGTATTAAACCGAACTCACTCACTCACTCACTCACTCACTCCAGGCCTATATTGCACGCATGTAAAAATCTGGAAACCAACTAATTATGGCCAGATACAAAAATATTATTGTTTCTCATAACCTTTTAAAAAAATATGGGCGTGCGGATTTTAGTTTTACAATTTATTTTATTTAATTTTTTGTCCCAAACCCCTTGATTTCTGTGGACATTTACACCTTTTCTCTGATAGAAATTTAAAACTTAAAAGTGTGAGAATTCAGTCACATTTCGAGCGTCAAAGTTGCATTTTATCTTATGTAAAAAATATATTTTAAAAATTAGGGTCGGTCGGTAATGAGAAACAAGAATATTTTTATATATGGCCTGACAAAACGCCTTATAAAAGTAATTGTTTACGTGACTGTGGATTTACAATGAGGTAAAGAATTCCTTGAACATTTGTGACTGCTATGGCTGTTATAGCATTGTAACCATGGTTACCCTGTAAAGAATTACAGAGTGTACATAGTTGTATACTAAGACAACTATGAAGTATATATTTGATACAATATATGTGACGTCATGACATTGTGATGCATGTTGTAACAATGTATGGATGTGAAAGCGTATTCCAACGTGACATATATGTTCATATAAATTTGATAATTATTGAAAATATTTGTTTTCCTTTTATTAGTAAGAACAAGGTAGAAGTGAAACTACAGACGTGAAAACAAATCGCAGTGAAAGAACAGCTGCAGCGAAACCATCACATCGTAATATCACTACAGCTGCAATGTGACCATCAGATCGGAGTGAAACTACAGCTGCAATGTGACCGTCAGATCGGAGTGAAACTACAGCTGCAATGTGACCGTCAGATCGGAGTGAAACTACAGCTGCAATGTGACCGTCAGATCGGAGTGAAACTACAGCTGCCATGTGACCATCAGATCAGAGTGAAAAACTACAGCTGCAATGTGACCGTCAGATCGGAGTGAAACTACAGCTGCAATGTGACCGTGAACTACTGTCTGCTGCCATGTGACCATCAGATCAGAAGCTACAGCTGCCATGTGACCATCAGATCGGAGTGAAACTACAGCTGCCATGTGACCGTCAGAACAGAGTGAAACTACAGCTGCCATGTGACCGTCAGATCGGAGTGAAACTACAGCTGTCATGTGACCGTCAGATCGGCCATGTGAATCTAAACTACAGCTGCCATGTGACCGTCAGATCGAATTGTCAGATCGGAGTGAACTACTACAGCTGCAATGCCATGACCGTCAGATCGGAATGTGAAACTAATGTGACCGTCAGATCGGAGTGAACTGCACAGCTGCCATGTGACCGTCAGATCAGATCAGAATGTGACCGTCACAGCTGCTGCCATGTGACCAGATCAGAAACTACAGCTGCAATGTGACCGTCAGATCGGAGTGAAACTACAGGTGAAATGTGACCATCGAAGTGAACGATAGATTATATCCGAGTATTTGTTTCTTCAGTGTTATGGATGGTTATAGGGTATAAGGATTTAAGCGTAAACAATCCTGTGTAACATTCGTCAATGACACACTTTGACTTAAATTTAAAACCTTTTAAGTACTATTGTGCATGCATTTTCTTCGACGATTTCAAAGAACACCAAACAGCCCATGTTCAAAAGTTGTTTGAGCTTGGTTACAATATGTAACGTCTTAGTAAAATCTCAAACGTGGACATGGTGAACATTTTCAACTTGTCGGAGAAGTGACGAGAATTATTTCTCTTTTCCCTATTTTGACTGGTACAGTACGTCCTGTTTGTTCTGGCGACCATTTGATTTGCCTTTGCAAGTATTTGTGATGATGGGACAGGACACGTTCTTCTAACCTAGTGGTTTCAATACTAGTTGCAGGTGATTGATTAACAAGTGCTTGTGGCACAGTCTCAATCGTCCTGGAGTATGTTTTTAGCAGAAGATTTCATGATCTGCAATTGGTTTATGCAGTTTTACGTGTTATTAATTCAGTGAAACAATTCGCCCTGGACATACGATGTCATATCTTCTTCCAGTAGTTATCACTTCAAGGGAAAATACACTTCGTTCCTGTGATTTCTGTTTTTGTAAACTTTGAAAGATGTTATTAAAAATTGGCATTACATTTGTTCAGGACACCATCATGCTCAGTGGACAAATATGTTCTTTCGTAAAACATGAGGACGTAGTTTATTTCCCATATTTTTCTGGAACAACCACAAGGACTTTTAATGTTCATTCACGGGGAAAGAGATCTTATTTTTTCTAAGTATTACTTATTAAAATAACTTTAATTGGAGAGAAAATGAAAATGACAACACTACTGGAAAAGGCATTCAGTGAAGACAACTTGGGTGCGTTGTAGATAGCCAATCAAGTGATTTACAGTGATTTCACCGCGAACAGAATCGCACCAATCGCTGGCCAAGGTTGCGTCGTTCTCAAACCAAAATGGCGGTTGATGGAAATTTGAGTTTGTCAAGAATGTTTCACTGGAACTGGACAAAGGCAGCTTACATCTCAGCATCTTCATTACAGTCATCAATAGTCATCAATTCATCAGCACGTCATAGAGATTCTTCTGTTACGTTCTTCATTAAGGCAAGGCAAGCAAAGGGTGACTTCGCCGCCATTTTGGATGAGCGTTCAAGCGCTTCGAGCTGTTGCAAGTCCTGGACAAGCGATTAATTTGCTAACTCACAACGATTGATGACTTGCACCACGTGGTGAACTGCTAAAATACACACCTATTGCAAATACCGGAAGGTTATTACACGCAATATTCTTCCCTTATATACTCTTCAAATAAAGAAACGCACAGGAGATAATAACAATGCTGATTTTTCTAATCCATGAAACATTCAATACAAATTGTTTTGATTGAACGATGTTAGTTGCACGATCGTGAAGTGCACAAACGCAACCGTTATATACTTAGATTTATATGCATATTTATTTATAATATTGCACGCAACTGAAGTAAATTAACAGCAGAGTACACTTATAAATTGTGATAGTTACTTACCTTTACTGACAATGACTATATTTCTTTGTTGTTTAAGCCACACTTAGCATTGTTCAAGCTGTATGGTGGCGGGCCATAAATAATCGAGTTCAGACCAGACAATCCAGTGATTGACATAATGAGCATCGATCTGCGCAATTGGGATACGGCATATTCAACAACCAAGTCGGGGAGCCTGGCCACCCGATCCCGTTAGCCATCTATTACGACAAGTTTGTATAACCTAGATGTTTACGGGTAGCAATGCCTATAACGTGACAATCCTCCACACCCGACGTAATATAATCAACAGTGACGTCATAAATGGATGACGTCACACGGTAATATCGCTACACTGAACCGCTGTGACACCATGTGGCTCAATTCAACACAACCTGCATTGTTATTTATGTACACGCGTGTGTTGTGAGTGTGTATGTGTGTGTTTTGTGAGCAGCCCACGTGTATGTTTTGTGACTGTGCGTGTAGCGTCAGATCGTTTCTTCAATTTCGGGGCTACGGGTTTGAAATTCAACCAATGGTAAGAAACTTAAAATTTCTCGATTCCCCACATGGGTGCAGTGTGTGAAGCCCATTTCTGGTGTCCCCCGCCGTGATATTGCTATAAACGCGGAAATAAAACCCATACTTAAGCTACTATCTCACTTGGCTGTCGCAATTTAGCGGCGTACCATTTCCTCCTAATGGTACTCCATTTTTCAAACCCAACTCACTCACTCACTCACTCTAACGATTGAAACATATCAACAATGAAATACTCTCTGATACCCACTGCGAATGCTATACTCCGTAATCTATTAACGACTGAAATACTCTCCAACTCATATTTAAGCTAGTATCTCAGTTGGCTGTAAAACGCAATTTATTGAACACAATAAATATTTATTTTAGGTGTAACCATTTCAAGTCTAATGGTACTGGGATTTTTTCAGATGGGAGTGAGATCTTAAAAAGAATACTAAATAAATATATAAATCCAAAGTTTCCAGGATCGATTGGCATTTAATATTTTTTTTAAATCAGTTTACAGCACAAAGTGTCATTGTAAAACGAATGACAATATCATAACTCAGAATATACCTCATGAAGTATATTCACAGTCTAACGCTGTTGTATCAAACGCACGGTTGTCTCGAAGTGAAAACATGGTCCGTGTGTATTATTTATCAATCACATTGTGGCTGTGTCGAACTTCGGATAACTCGAGGCATTTAAGTAGGTCATATCAACTTCGACACATATATTCGGAGATGGTGAAATGAAGAAAGCAAGCAATAGCTATTTGATGACGATGTTTTCGATACATGCATGATAGCCACAGGCCCTCGTGTCTTTGTGAGGATTAAAGATTTAAAAATATATAAAAAC